CCTCCCGGCAACGCTCCAACTCCCCGCGTGGGGCAGTAGATGCTCACGATCCCCTCGCAAACCCGGCTGCTGCACCAAGAACCTTCCTTGCTGCCCCAAGGCAAATTGCCAACCCACTGTGCAGGTTTTGATCAGCAACCCAAGGATCCAAAAGTTAATGGCTGAGCGATAGAAACTCTAGTAAAGCTCAAGCAGGACTGAACTTTTGGTGCTTTCGGGTGGATTTGGAGGTTTTCTGGAGGCAGGAAACTTGACAGGCATGTGCTGAGAGCCTGTCTGTATTTCAGACTAGAGGAAATGCTGGGGGGAGATCCCAAGCGCCCCGTGACAGCGCCGCAGCCTCAAAGCAGCTGCCTGGAAACACGTCACTATCCCCGAGCGCGTCGCCTACTTGAGGAACCGAGCATCTGCCTCGGTGCTGTTTTCACAGGAAAAATCTACCCTGTCACCCAGCGTGACAAACACATGGGTAGAAACCAAGGCAGCTGGCAGGAAGGTGCCGCTTGGTTATCTGCCCCACGAGAGGAACGGGGCCGTGGCGAGGGGAGGAACACGCAGCTTTTAGCTCTCGCTGGGGCCACCAGCGAGAACCAGCTGCCCAGGACCGGCCCTTTGGCAGGGCATTAGCAGAGAGCAGGCACCAAACAGCCTCGAAAGGCTCCCTGTGGCCTCCTGCTTTGCCCGAGTGGCACAAGACACCACAAAACTCGGGTCGTTGCTGCTGAGGGTTGGGGCAGAACCGCCCTGCAGGGGCTGCACAAACCATCGTGGATCGATGGGCTTCGGCAGCACCGACCGCCCCGCGCTCCTTGGAAAGCGCTTAGGAGGCTGCTCGCAAACCCATGGGCAACGCCGGGGCGACGCGGGCCGGGCACCCACCTTGGGGCACGTCCTGGTGCAGTTCATGATGGTGTGACAACGGTAGAGGGAAAACGGGTCCTGCAGCTGCGCCAGGCGCTCCTCCGTGTAGTCGTCCCGGGAGTCGATCATCCAGCGATAGGCCTGCAAGGCAGCGGC